GCTTTGTAGTGAATCACATAAAGCCACCTATAACATGGTAACTAATCTTAGGAAAAGCGCCTCTTTGAGATGTCCTGCCCCGATCTGATTGACAGCTTTTAGACCAATCCAAATATTGTATCCTAACTTCCTCCTTTAGCCTTATAATAATGGGTCTGAAACCACTCCTCTTTGGATTTGTGGTCTCCACTTGCTGGAGGCGGTAACTCCCCATTTGAATGTTCTTGTATTTTCAATGGAAACCCTGGTGACACACTGGTTAAGAGCTATGGCTGCTAACCAAAAGGTCGGCAGTTCAAATCCACCAGGCAATCCTTGGAAACTCTATGGGGCAATTCTACTCTGTCCTATAGGGTCACTATGAGTTGGAATCTTCTCTACGGCAACAGGTTTGGTTTTAGGGTTTTTTATTTTTTTATGGTACTTTCAATAAATCTCTCTTGCTTTATTTCAACACAGTCTTAGAGTTTGTTTCTCCAAAACACTGCTGATGCATCGCCACTATCAGTGTCTATTCTTCCTGAGGTTGAGGGGGGGCTAATTTAGAGGTTACCACTGGGCACTCTTACCCTCGCTAGGCCCCTAGCTTATATCCTCCTCCTTAGTAAACACAGAGATGTTTGATGAATGCAGCAAAACACACAGATATTTGATAAAGAGTGCAGCAAAACAACTCAAAAGTCTTTTGTCAGCCTTCTTCAATGGACTGTGAGTGTCTAAGGACTTGACCTATCTCATTTTTGTCAACCCTAGTCCTGGTATCCCCCATGCATCTGTCAGTTTGTCGTCCTATGGGGGCATGTGTGTTGCTGTGATGCTGGAAGCTATGCCACTGGTATTCAAATACCAGCAGGGACACCCATGGTAGACAGGTTTTAGCTGAGCCTCCAGACTAAGACAGACTAGGAAGAAGGACCCAGAAGTCTACCTCTGAAAAGAATTAGCCAGTGAAAACCTTATGAATAGCAGTGGAATGTTGTCTGATATAGTGCTGGAAGATGAGCCCCTCAGGTTGGAAGGCATTCAAAATATGACTGAGGAAGAGCTGCCTCCTCAAAGTAGAGTTGACCTTAATGACGTGGATGGAGTCAAGCTTTCAGGACCTTTGCTGATGTGGCATAACTCAAAATGAGAAGAAACAGCTGTAAACATCCATTAATACTTGAAACATGGAATGCACAAAGTATGAATCTAGGAAAACTGGAAATTGTCAAAAATGAAACGGAATGCAAAAAGGTTGATATCCTGGGCATTAGTGAGCTGAAATGGACTGGTATTGGTCATTTTGAATCAGACAATCATATGGTCTGCTATGCTGGGAATGACAACTTGAAGAGGAATGGTGTTGCATTCATTATCAAAAAGAACATTTCAAGATCTATCCTGAAGTACAACGCTGTCAGTGATAGGATTATACCATATGCCTTCAATGAAGATCAGTGACTACGACTGTTATTCAAATTGATGTGCCAACCACTAAGGCCAAAGATGAAGGAATTGAAGATTTTTATCAACTTCTGCAGTCTGAAATTGATTAAATATGGTATCAGGATGCATTGATAATTACTGGTGATTGGAAGCAAAAGTTGGAAACAAAGAAGAAGGATTGGTAGTTGGAAAATTTGGCCTTGGTGATAGAAACAATGCCAGAAATCGCATGATAGAATTTTGTAAGACCAATGACTTCTTCATTGCAAATACCTTTTCTCACCAACATAAATGGCGACTGCACACGTGGACCTTACCAGACAGAATATACAGGAATCAAATCGACTACATCTGTGGAAATAGATGATGGAAAAGCTCAATATCGTCAGCCACAAGGCCAGGGGCTGACCGTGGAACAGACCATCAATTGCTCATATGCAAGTTTAAGTTGAAACTGAAGAAAATTAGAACAAGTCCACGAGAGCCAAAGTACAACCTTAAGTATATCCCACCGGAATTTAGAGACCATCTCAAGAATAGATTTGATGCGTTGAACACTAACGACCGAAGACCAGACAAGTTGTGGAATGACATCAAGGACCTCACACATGAAGAAAGCAAAAGGTCATTAAAAAGACAGGAAAGAAAGAAAAGACCAAAATGGATGTCAGAAGAGACTCTTGAACGTTAAACAGCTAAAGCAAAGGAAGAAATGATGAAGTAAAAGAGCTGAACAGATTTCAAAGGGTAAGTGGAGAAGACAAAGAAAACTATTATAATGACATGTGCAAAGACCTGGAGATTGAAAACCAAAAGGGAAGAACACACTCAACAGTTCTTACGCTGAAAGAACTTAAGAAAGAAAAAATTTAAGTCTCGAGTTGCAATACTGAAGGATTCTACAGGGAAAATATTAAATGAAGTAGGAAGAATCAAAAGAAGATGGAAGGAACACACAGAGTCACTATACCAAAAAGAACTGGTCGACATTCAACCATTTCGGAAGGTAGCATATGATCAGGAACCGATGGTACTGAAGGAAGAAATCCAAGCTGCACTGAAGGCACTGGCGAAAAAAAGGCTCCAGGAATTGACAGAATACCAATTGAGATGTTTTGACAAACGGATGCAGCGCTGGAAGTGCTCACTTGTCTATGCCAAGAAATTTGGTAGACAGCTACCTGGCCAACTGTCATGGATTGAATTGTATCCCCCCAAAATATGTGTATCAATTTGGCTAGGCCATGATTCCCAGTATTGTGTGATTGTCCAGCATTGTTTCATATAGACGTGCTTTTCCTGTGTGTTGTAAATCCTACCTCTATGATGTTAATGATGTGGGATAGGTGGCAGTTATGTTAATGAGGCAGGACTCAATCTATAAGATTGGGTTGTGTCTTGAGCCAATCTCTTCTGAGATATAAAAGAGAGAAGCAAGCAGAGAGATGGAGGACCTCATACCACCAAGAAAGCAGTGCCGAGAGCAGAGCATGCCGAGAGCAGAGCCAGTCTAGGGGAAGATTGATGAGAAGGACCTTTCTCCAGAGCTGACAGAGAGAGGAAAGACTTCCCCTGGAGCTGATGCCCTAAATTTGGACTTCTAGACTGTGAGAAAATAAATTTCTCTTTGTTAAAGCCATCCACCTGTGGTATTTCTGTTATAGCAGCCCTAGATAACTAAGATACCAACCGACTGGAAGAGATCCATATTTATGCCTATTCCCAAGAAAGTGATCCAACTGAATGCAGAAATCATCGAACAAGATCATTAATATCACATGTAAGTAAAATTTTGCTGAAGATCATTCAAAAGCAGCTCCAGGAGTATATCGACAAGGAAGTGCCAGAAAGTCAAGCTGGATTCAGAAGAGAATGTGGAACAAGGGATATAATTGCTGATGTCAGATGGATCCTGGCTCAAAGCAGAGAATACCAGAAAGATGTTTACCTGTGTTTTATTGACTATGTTAAGGTATTCAGCTGGGTGGATCAAACAAATTATGGATAATTATGTGAAGAATAGGAATTTCAGAACACTTAATTGTGCTAATGAGAAACCTGTACATTGATCAAGAGGCAGCTGCTTAAACAGAACAAGGGGATACTGTGTTGTTTAAAGTCAGGAAAGGTGTGCGTCAGGGTTGTATCGTTTCCCCATACCTGTTCAATACTAATGCTGAGCAAATAATCCAAGAAGCTGGACTATATGAAGAAGAATGGGGTGTGAGGATTGGAGGAAGGCTCATGAACAACCTGCTTTATGCAGATGACACAATTTTGCTTGCTGAAGTGAAGAGGACTTGAAGTACCACAGCTTTCAGTATGGATTACACCGCAATATAAAGAAAACAAAAATCCTCACAACTAGACCAATAAGCAACATCATGATAAACGGAGAAAAGACTGAAGTTGTCAATGATTTCATTTTACTTGGATCCACAATCAACACCCATGGAAGCAGCAGTCGAGAAATCAAACAACGCATTGCACTGGGTAAATCTGCTACAAAAAAAACCTCTTTAAAGTATTGAAAAGCAAAGATGTCACCTTGAAGACTAAGGCGCGCCTGACCCAAGCCGCGGTGTTTTCAATCGCCTCATATGCATGCGAAAGCTGGACGATGAGTAAGGTAGACTGGAGAAGAATTGACGCCTTTGAATTCTGGTGTTGGCGAAGAATACTGAATATACCATGGACTGCTAAAAGAACGAATACTGAATATACCATGGACTGCTAAAAGAACGAACAAATCTGTCTTGGAAGAAGTAGAACCAGAATGCTTCTTAGAAGCAAGGATGGCGAGACTACATCTCACATACTTTGGACATGTTATCAGAAGGGATCAGTCCCTGGAAAGGGACATTATGATTGGTACTGTAGAGGGTCAGCAAAAAAGAGGAAGACAACTATGGGCTCAAGCATAACAGTGTTTGTGAAGATGGCACAGGACCAGGCAGTGTTTCCTTCCGTTACAAATAGGGTCTCTATGAGTTTGAACCGACAACAGTCCTAGTACATAACCGAAAAACCCAGTGACTGTGGAGTAAACTCATGACTCCAACTCATGGCAACGTCAGGTGTATCAGAGTAGAACTATGCTCTATAGGGTTTTCAATGGCCGATTTGTCAGATCACTAAGCCTTTCTTCCCAGATGTCTCTGGGTGGACTTGAATCTCCAACCTTTCTTAGGTGCTAATTACGTTCCTGTTTGCATCACCCAGTCGGGACTTAATAACTGTAAGTGAATAAACGAATGAATACAGCCGGACGACTCACTCCAAGCTATATGAAAGGAATTGTTTAGTTTTGAAAACCTAGAGACTCATTCCAGAGCCCCTTTAATTAACTGACAAGGATAGAAACAACACCCGGCCCCAGCAACGGCAGCCCAGGCTCCGCCCCTCTGCGCCCATTGGCCCTTTCAATTCCAGGCAAGGACCAATGGGCGGGGGCGGCGGTCGCGCCGTCTAAGGGCAGGGCCGCTGGCGGCTTTTTGAGCGTGCAACCTACCTGATCTGTGGGAACCTGAGGCAGTCAGATCCGAGAGAGGAGCCCTCCTTGCCGGCCTGGGATGAGCGTCCCAGCCTTGCACCCGAACCTGCAGCTACCCCCCAGTCAGAGGACTCAGCCCGCGTTCCGAGGTGAGGGAGGAGCGGCGCATGGGAGGTGGGTCGTTTGCCAGAGGGAACGGGCGGTGGGCGAGTGGGCCCCAGCGGCCCGCAGCCCAGCTCAGGGGCGGGTTAATCAGCAAGCCCGGTACACGAGTCAGCCAGTGCGCACCTTGCTTACTGGAGAATCTGTCCCTGGACCAGCTCCACCCCTGACGCGTTGCAAGAGAACCCTGAACAGGTCGCTCCGTCTTTACAAACCTTACTCTTGTCCCCTGTGAAATGCGTAATAAAAGAGTAGCACCCACTCCGTGGGGTGACTGCGGATTGAGCGCCTCTGTGCGGCCGTTACTGCCGGCCGGCCCCCCTTGCTGCGAGGCTGGAGGCAGCCCCCGAGCCCGTTTAGCGGCGGGGAGGGCCTGAAGGCGGACTGCGCCTGCGCTGCCGCTCCCCGTCTGGATTCGGGAGCTCATTTCTGCGCGGTTGGAGTTTGATCTTTCAAATTTAACACCTAGAGCTTAGACATTATGGAATCCTAGGGATGCCCCGGTTCCCAGGATTAATCTTATTTCTTTGTCCAGCCTATGGGAAAAAGGAAACAAACTGAAGTGACTCACTCAACCCACTTCTGGCGAATTCGGCAGAACTTGGGGTCTGGTGTCTCATCCCTATCATTTATTTTCTTAAAGCTTAGCGTTCGGAAACCGCATGTTGAAAATAATGTTCTCCAGATTTTTTACTGTCAGGCAATAAGAATGTAATTCTTTTCCAGAGTGGTTATAGGGACCTTTTATGTTAACAATCTATTATTAATAGAATTATTTCTCAAAAGCAAAAGAACTAGGACATTTTTTGTTATATAGATGTGAACGTAAGTAGTGCAATTTTCTAAATAAAATCTTCACTTAGTCAGCAATATTTATTTGATGTTATTGTTTTAACTAATATTGACCTGTAGATCTTTCTTTTCGTTATTTAGAGCAAAGACGACAAAAACTCAAGCAACGTCTATTAAAAGAAAAAACACTTTTTGTATATAAACAGGAACATCAGATATTATCCAGGTGAAGTTAAGTTTATTTCATTGAAGTTCTGTAAAATTGTATCACAGCTAATATAATTTAAAAATATAACTATGAACCAATATTTAATTTTAAAATTTCTGGTAGCCACATTTAAAAAGTCTTTTTAAGAAATAAAATGAAGTTTAATATATTTTATTTAATATATCTAAAATATTGTAATTTTCAACATGTAGTCTATAGTAAAAAATTACTATTGAGATATTTTACCTTTTTTTTTTGGTACTAAGTCTTCAAAATCTAGTGTATATTTTTACTTTCTCTACATCTCAATTTGGACTAGCCACTTTTCAAGTGCTCAGTAGCCACGCATGTGGCTAGTGGTACAGTATTGGACAGTGTAGTATCAGATCATAATTTTCTTTGTAAATTAATTCACACTCCCAGAGGAAGTAATTTTAAAGCAGAGTATGTGTCTATACTAAAATGTTGACTGATGGTTTATACGGGGCTACAAAGGTCTGTCTTTCTGTAATTTAGCAAAACTTTTAATATATGGGAGCTTTTTTGGGGGGCGGTAGCTCCCAAATGTTTGGTGATCGTTTGTTTTAGTCTTAACCCTCCATAGAAATATCTTCATTTTTTTGTCTAAATTATAATGATAGGACATGGTGTGACAAAAACAAATCCACGGAAGGATATATAAAGCAGAAATTCAAAAGGTCCCCTTGCTCTCTAGAGATAACCTCTAGTAACATCCCCAGGTTGTTTGTGTGCACACTAAGAGCATGGACTCTGGAGTAATAACAACCTGTGCTGGAATCTTTAAGTTGGCCACTTAACAGCTGTGTGACCTCTTTGAGTCTTTTTACTTGTACTAAAATAGAATTAGTTAATACATGTTTCTTGGGAATTAAATGAGATAGTATATATATTTTGCTATGCCTTGCCTGGTACATAGTGAGAATTCAATAAGTGGTAGCTATCGTTTCATGATCGCTCAGTGGCATTACATACAGTGGACTGGTGAGAGAAAGAGAGAGAGCAAATGATAATGCAGATGGGTTGAAATGTTAACCATGACTGAATGTGGATAAAGAGTATATGGATTTTTTTAAACTATTTTTATTTTTGCAACTCCATATAAGTTTCACTTTATTTCCAAATAAAATGCTTTTTTCTTAAATTTCTAATATTACGTTAGTAAGTTGCTTTAGTTTAAAATAAACATTTTCTCGTTTCACAAATCCCACATTTCTTTGTTTAAGAAAAAGATGACACTAGATTTTTTGTTTGAGTAACTGAGTAAATAGTGATACCATATATCGAGATGGGGAAGACTGAGGAAGATGTGGGGGAATCAGGAGTTCTGCTTTGACCATGTTAAGTTTGAGGCGTCAATAAGATATCCAAGCAGAGATGCCAAATAGTTATGCATCTGAAGTTCAGAGGAGAGGTTGGGACTGGTAATAGAAGCTTGGGAATTTTCAGTGTACAGGCAGTCCCTGGGTTACGAATATCAAAATTATGTACAACCTGTAGTTATGAAGCAACCCCCGTAAAGCCTATTATATTAAAAATTCGAGGTACGTGCAGTGGTTCGTAATATCAAACAGGTGCTACTTTGCGATGGATATCAAAACATTATTATTATTATTATTATTACTGTGTTATGTCAAAGATGTTTTAGTGTATCTGGAAGTGTTTCTTTATTGTTTTTATGCATAGAAAGGTACACTGTATACTAAGACAAACATTTGACTAACTAATGTTAGATACGTACGTAACTGTTCAACTTAATGTACAAATATGACAAAGTTAGGAATGGAACTCGTTCGTAGTCTGGGGACTGCCTATATAGATGGTATTTATTTCAAACCATGCGACTAAATGAGATAATAGTAATTTAAATAAGATAGTAACTTAATGAGGAATCAAATGGGATAATGGGGTTTATAATACTCATACAAAATGGGAAAAAAATTCTAAATCTCTTCTTCTGACTTAACCAAAAAACCTCATGAGTACTATATTTACTCTTTCAAAAAACAAAGGTCAGTTTAAATATTATTACTTGAGCAACAAATTATTAAGTTAAGACAACCAATCAGGGTTGCAGCTTTTCAGGAACAAACATTTAACCAGTTAATACTATTGAACAATTCTATTTTACAATCAAATAAAGTATCTTAAGACTCCTTTGTTAAGATAACCCTTCTGAAAGCAGTTTTGTAATAAAAACACAGAATAGGATTATATATTTTCATCTACATCTCCACACTGAACAGGTGAGTAAGACCTGTTTTCCATGTCGTCCTGAGATTTTTAGCTAGCATTAAGAAAGCAAGTAATTTCAAGACTAAGCACTGGAATTCTGTTAGCACTCACAGAAAAACGGGAGTTCCTAGGCAGTATAAAACTAAAAAATGCAGAAGAAAAGTTAAAAATTTGTATTGGGCAGATTAGGAAGAAGAGACAGAGACTTAAAAGAAGTGAGGTAGGAGGAAAAGTTGGTGATCTAGTAGCAAAATGAAGAAAATACTCAACACTGCCAGTCACCCAGAGCATAGCAATGTCTCTTACATTTACTACCAGGGGGCAAATACCTCTCTTGCTACTGCCTGGCTATCAACTATCAAGTGCTATTGAGAGATCCAGTAAGATGCAGACTGAGAATTGACTATGAGATGTAAAATCATGGAAATAATGGTACTAGGTGTTTGACTAGAGTGATAGGGACAATTCCTGATACACACAGGCTGAGGAGAGAATAGCAGGTGACAACATGAAGACAGTGTGTATAAGTATCTTTTTGAAGGTGTTTTGCTATAAAGAAAATTGAGAAACTAGGCATTAGCTGAAAGAGAATGTGAGGTTTAAGGCTTTTTAAGAAGAGAATAAATGTAGTGGTTATATGCTGATGGAAATGACCTAGGACAGGGAGAAGTTACTGATACAGAAAGATTAACAAATAAATGCAGGAGCAAATGCCATGAGTAGAGAAGAGGGAGTGGAATGGAGAGCAGAATTGGAGAGTTTGGCCCTAGATCACCACAGCATGAGTTCATCTGTCAAAACAGGAGGGGCTAATTCTTCTTAAGATTGCTTCTGTACGCAAGGATAAAGAACAATGAGAATCTGAGAAACATCTCACAACATGAGTGAATCTGGAGGGCATTATGCTGAGTAGGGAAATAAGTCAATCACAAAAGGACAAATACTGTATAAGACCACTATTATAAAAACTCAAGAAAAGGTTTATGCACACAAACAATCTTTGATGGTTACGAGGGAGGGGAGGGGTGAGGGAAAAACACTGACTAGACAATAGATAAGTGGAACTTTGGTGAAGGGAAAGACAGTGCACAATATAGGGGAAGTCAGCACAACTTGACCAAGGCAAAGTCATAGAAGCTTCATAGACACATCCAAACACCCCAAAGTACTGAGTTACTGGGGCTTAGGGCTGGGGACCATGGTCCCAGGAGTCATCTAGGTCAGTTGGCATAAAAGAGTTCATAGAGAAAATGTTCTGTATTCGACTTTGGTGAGTAGCCTCAGGGGTCTGAAAAGCTGGCAAGTGGCCATCTAAGGTACATCTACTGGTCCCATCACATCTGGAGCAAAGGAGAATGAAGAAAACCAAAGACACTAGGGAAATAATAGTCCAAAGGACTAATGGACCACAAGTACTGCAGCCTCCACCAGTCTGAGGCCGAAACAACTAGATGCTGCCTAGCTACCACCACCAACTGCTCTGACAGGGATCACAATAGAGGCTCCCAGACAGAGCAGGAGAAAAATGTAGAACAAAATTCAAATTCACAAATAAAAAGACCAGACTTACCGGTCTGACGGGGACTGGAAAAACCCCTGAGACTATGGCCCCCAGACACCCTTTTAACTCAGACCTGAAGCCACTCCCGAGGCTCACTCTTCAGCCAAAGATTAGACTGATTGTCTTAGTTAACTAGTGCTACCATAACAGAAATTCCACAAGTGGATGGCTTTAACAAATATATTCTCTCACAGTCCGGGAGGCTAGAAGTCTGAATTCAGGGTGCCAGCTCCAGGATAAGGCTTTCTCTCTCTGTCAGCTCTGGGGGAAGGTCCTGTGTCATCAGTCTTCCCTGGTCGAGGAGCTTCTCAGCACAGGAACCCCGGGTCCAAAGGACAGGCTATGCTCCCAGTACTTCTTTCTTGGTGGTATGAGGTCCGCATGTCTCTCTGCTTGCTTCTGTCTTTTATATCTCAAAAGAGATTGACTTAAGACATAATCTAATCTTGTAGATTGAGTCCTGCCTCATTAACATAACTGCTGCCTATCCCACCTCATTAACATCATAGAAAATCACATCAGATGACAGAATAACAGACTGTCACACAATACTGGGAATCATGGTCTAGCCAAATTGATACACCTTTTGGGGGGACACAGTCCATAACACAGGTCTGTAAAACAAACAGCACATATGAGGAACGTGCCTCTTAGTTCCTTCATGTATACGAGACCAAAAGGGCAACACCTGCTCAAAAGCAATGATGAGAAGGCAGGAAGGGACAGGAAAAATGGATGGAGGGAAACGAATCGGAGTGTGGAAGGGAAGAGTTGACACATCATGGGGACTGCAACCAATGTCACAAAACAATTTCTGTATAAATTGTTGAATGAGAAACTAATTTGCTCTGTAAAGTTTCACCTAAAGCACAATTAAAAAAAAAGATTGCTTCTGATTTTCTCAGTGATATAGCATCACAGTATGCTGTTAGCCCGGAAGTAGTAGAAGCTGAGGTCAATAGGGGACCTGATTAATTGAAGTACCACATGGGAGGAGCCTGGCAGGTTGACCCTAAGCATCATCTCCTTCCAGCCCACACCAAACAGTGAGCCAGGCAGTAGCAAGAGAGGTATTTGCCCCTGGTAGTAAATGTAAGAGACATTGCTATGTTCTGGGTGACTGGCAGTGTATGGGAGGAACAAGAAACACCCATACTCACAAGATAGCTACAAAGATACCCTGTTCAGTGGCACGTTTTGACCTTCTCCATCATTCAAAATGTATAGTACAAGCTATGTAAACAATTCTGCCCCTTCCCCAAGCAAGACTGAGCACACAGATATGAAAGACCCACCCAAAAACCAAATCCACTGTCGTCCAGTCAATTTCGACTCATAGCGACCCCATAGGGTTTCTAAGGTGGTAAATCTCTACGGAAGCAAACTCCTACCTCTTTCTCCCATGGAGCCGCTGATGATTTCAAACCAGCGACCTTGTATAGCAGTCGGTTGCTGTTAATTGTAAGAAGCGCCTTTATTTTGTATACCATTAAGTAAAAAAAAAAGCACCATCCAATTAGACATGCCATTGATTCTAAGACAGATTCCAAGTTCAGAGATGTTACCATATGAAAAAATGTGCATCTTAGAATTGACAAAATTTAGAATTGATAATTTTGTTTACACTACCTTTTGTAACCAAAATTTTATAACCAAAATTATCAACTCTAAAGATATCCAGTTTTTCACATGGTAACATCTCGGAACTTGGAATCTGTCTTAGACTCAATGGCGTGTCTAAATAGATGGTATTTTTTTTCCTTAATAGTATATGCAAGATGAAGACACTTACAATTAACAGCATCTTAGATTCGTTCGAATATGGTCAGTAAACAGTCAAGAATTACCAAATGTGAGAAAGTCCAAAACAATGAAAGAGAAGTAACAAACTAAGCAGTCAGAAGAATGTATATCAAAGGAAGTGGATTTTAAAATATCTTCAAAGAGATGAGATATCCATAAGCCAGGAACAACTGGTAGTTATGAAAGAATTTAGACATCTTAGGAATGAAAAATATAATTGTTAAAATAAAAATCTCTAGATAACTGAATAGCAGAATAGACTAACTGAAGAACAAATTGGTGACCTGTAGGATCAAGCCTGGGAATTCTCCCAGAACACAGCACAGAGAGAGGAATGGGAAGTCTGTGAGAATAATTCAGGTGTCAGGTATAGAGAAGTCTTCATCATATGGAGAACTCCAAGAGGAGAGAAAAGAGAGTAAGCAATATTTGAGAAATGAAAGTTGAAATTTTCCTAGATTGAAGAAACCTGATTCTGAGAAAGAGTTTGGTGAGCAGGAAAAAAAAAATCTCATAATTTAGATATGAGACAGATGAAGAGTCTGTCTGGAGAGAGGCCCGCTTCTGAAGATAACTTTTCTTTTGTTCTTAAGCTAGGAACTGTTCTCTTTTGTCTTCTAACTCTTTCTTGAAACATAACAACACTCTTAGTATAATTGCCTGCTAAGAGATTCTTGTGGCCTGTACTAGCCAATCTATACCTGTAAAAAGGACTTTGGGACAAATTCTTGAGGAAGCATTTGCTTTGGATGAATATCGTAAATGCAATGCCACTTAGCCACCTATATACTAAGGGCCCATGTTCTCAATGTAAATGAAGCTGCGAGTGCGTGTATGGTAAATTTAAGATTTCTTGGGAGGGCTGTTTTAAAGTTTTCAATGTAACTGTTACTAAGTACTTTAACCCAGAAGTGTTGCTTAATAAAAGGTTTTTTGAAGACTTTTTGATGACTAAAGAAGAATGGTTTAGAATGAGAATATCAAGTGTTTACATATATTATGGGGTGAGGATTTTAAGACTTTAAAAAAAGCAAGTACTTTTAAATTCCTCAGTCATCTTGTTTACACTATGAAATTACATTTTAATAAAGAAAAGTATTGCTTAGGACAAATGAAACGCAGTTCAGTTCCTCCTTCTGTTTGACGTATAAAATTATGAAACCTGAAAACCATTGCCTTCAAGTTGATTCTGACTCCTAGTGACCCTGTAGGACAGAGTAGAACTGCCTCCATAGGGTTTCCAAGGCTGTAAATCTTTATAGAAACAGACTACAACATCTTTTTCCCCAAATTATGAAGTCAGAGTTAATTGTTAATGTTCACTGTCTCCCCCCATGCCCCCTCAAACAGGAAAACTTCTTAGTACATGGTCAAATGTTTAATTTTTATTTACTTTTTTAATTAATAGAGACCAGAGAGTGATGACATCTAAGGACCAGGTCCAAAATGGGGTAAATGTTCTGAAACTTAAAACAAAAATGGTAAGTACTGGACATAGCACTCATGAACAGTCCTTCTATTCCCCTTGCCCTTTCCTAAACTCTTCATAAAAGAAATGAGTCCTGAAATACTGATTTGTCTAAAATAACTCTTTTAGGCTAATAAAGAAAATTCCAATGGACCTACAGGGATAAAAAATAATGTGACAATGGAAACAAATTGTATTCCTTCAAAACCTAGTGAATTAACCAATTCAGCTTTAGAAGTTGATACACATGATTTTGAGAATAATAATCAGCCTCTTCGGTTGTTAGCAATTAAAGATGATGTCCAAAATCAACGTATGACATTTAGCCAGGCATTTCACCTTAAAAAAAATAATAAACAGAAACAAATGCTTACAGAAAAACCGAAGCAAGAAGCTAACATGCACAAGAAACCTGTGCTTGGGTCTTATTGTGGCCGAGTTGTTGAGTCTAAGATTAATTCGTTCAGAAAACCTCTACAAGTCAAAGATGAGAGTTCTGCAACAAACAAGAAACCTTCAGCTATTATCTCTAATGCCACCAAGCCTCAGCCTATGAGCACCAGCAATGTAACAGTGAAAAGTGATAGAGCCTCAAATGTGACTACTACCACTAAAATTGTGAGCTCTGTATCTCAGAGCAGACGACTTGTGCAACCTCCTATTAGAAGCCACCACGATCATACCCAATACAAGGTGAAACAAGGCATCAGTAGAACCTCTGCCAATGTTACAATTCAGAAAGGACCTCGTAGAAAAGAACTGATTCAACTGAAAACAGATTTATCTTGTGTCAAAACCAGTTCTGCTCAGGACATAAAAAGAAATGAAGCACGATCAAGAAGCATAGCATCTGAAATCGTAGCAAGGCCTGCTTCATCTTCTAATATCAAACTGATAGAAAAGTCAGAAACCATCGACCAGCGAAGACATACTATAGCAAAGACCAGTGTCAGTAATAGATCGGCTCAGCCCAAAGAAACCACGGAACAGAGAAAGTGAGTAGATGGAATTTTCTTCATTTTGTTACCTTAGTTTTCAATAGAGTAGTATTTGTGAATTTTGTTTGTAATTTCCTTGAGTGTATTAGAATTTTCTTTTGTGCAATCTCTTCTGTCATGTGAGACAAATCCAAGTAAGTGTATATTGTGGAATTATAGGACCTGAAAGTTACTGTGTTTGGGTGTGTTTTATCAAGTTGCTTTTTGTAATCTAAGTTAAAACACCGGATAATAATTGGGAAATATTTTATAAACTCTCCATTTAAAAATGCATTCTTGGAGGTCTTTAAGCATGTCACTGACTTTGTTCAGTGTTTCTTTTCCTTCAGATTTGTGAACTATGTGCGTGCCTCTAGTGAGAAACTACTTAAAGACCTGAAGTATTTTTTAGCTGTTTCTTCATTTGACAGAGTTCTGTCATCAGTACCATAGTAACGTTTATATGCTACTTCTAACTGTAGAGCTCGTCTGACTGAGTGGAAAGCTGGCAAAGGAAGAGTGCTGAAAAGACCTCCTAGCTCAGCAGTGACCCAGCCTGAGGCTGCAGGGCAAAATGAAAAACCGGCCGGGTCCTTCTGGACTACCATGGCAGAAGAAGATGAACAAAGATTATTTACTGAAAAAGTAAACAAGACGTTTTCTGAATGCCTGAACCTGATTAATGAGGTGTATTGTCTTTATCTTATATTTGTGTAGCATTTATAGTTTGCAGATTACTTTTGTAAACATTATCTAACTAAATTTCATTGTCAATCTTTTTGACGAAGTTATGTCAAGGATGTTATGGTGACTTAACATTAATTGTGAGGTTGTTCCGTGTTTGCCTTTAACTGAAAGAGCCCTGGTGGCACAGTGGTTAAGCACTTGGCTGCTAACCAAAAGGTCAGAGGTTCAAACCCACCAGCCACCCCTGCTGGGAAAGATGTGGCAGTCTGCTTCTGTAGAAATTACAGCTTTGGAAACCCTATGGGGCAGTTCTACTCTGTCCTATAGGGTCGCTATGAATCAGAATCAACTCGACAGCAATGGGTTTAGCCTTTAACTGACTACATTTTGCACTGAATTCATATAAGTTTATCAAAGGGATAATTAGTGTTGTTATTTGAGTTTAAACAAGGTATTCCTCTAAGATGTTAATACAGAGTAAGCTTGGAGTAGATAATTGCTTTTTAACTCTGATACTTCTGTTTCTTAACAATTTGTTCAAACATGTTCATTAAGTATTTTCTCCTGTCATTATGAATTAACAAATGGAATCCCACAATATGTAAGAGGATAAACATTAAAACCAAGTGAAGTGACAATCTTTTTTTTTTTTTTACTAACACGTATCTAAACTAGTCTTTTATTTTCTGTTACCTAATACTCATGAGGAAACCCTGGTGGCATAGCGGTTAAGAGCTACGGCTGCTAACCAAAAGGCTGGCAGTTCAAATCCAGCAGGCGCTCCTTGGAAACTCTGTGGGGCAGTTCTCCTCTGTCCTATAGGGTTGCTATAAGTCAGATTCAATTCTACGGCAACGGGTTTAATACTCATGAAGGAGCCCTGGTGGCGCAGTGCTTAAGCACTCTGCTGCTAACCAAAAGATCCACGGTTCAAACCCATTGGCCACTCTGCAGGAAGAAGTTGTAGCAGCCTGCTTCCATAAAGATTACAGCCTTGGAAACCCTGTGGGGCAGTTCTACTCTGTCCCATAGGGTCACTGTGAGTTGGAATCGACTCAACGGCAATGGGTTTGGTTTGGTTTGGAATATTCATGAGTAATAGGCTTTTTCGTAGCCATTCAGAATAAGTTTGGAGTAAGGAAAATGATGATAACTAATGCTTTTATGAATATTTTTATATGAAGTTTTTCTGTCTTTGTCATTGATCTTGATTACAGTAAGCTTAATCATTAATTTTATAATTTGTAGGCTAAAGATATCACACACTTAATTTCTTGCTCTTTTAGGGATGCCCAAAAGAAGAAATATTGGTCACATTGAATGACCTGATTAAAAATATTCCAGATGCCAAAAAACTTGTTAAGTATTGGGTGTGCCTTGCACGTCTTGAGCCAGTCACAAGTCCTATTGAACATATTATTACCATCTACGAGAAGGCCATCCTGGCAGGAGCTCAGGTGAGATGAAAACTTACTCCTCTTTAATACAGGGTAAATGGTTGAGTTGCTTCTGAACACATCACAATGTAACGTGGTAAAATTGTGGTTATGTATATGTAGTAGTAATGAAAAGCTGTTTCTCAGCCTTCTAAAACTTTTCCTGTGTTCTACGGATAGTCAGACCTTAGAAAATGAATATAAGCTGAAATGTAAATTTAGTAAAACTGAACTCTGAGAAATGTTTCGGGGCAACATGTCATTCTGTGCATTTTCTAGTTGGGAAATCTACTAGGAAATTCAATTTTTAATATCAAAATTGTGCTTATTGACTATAAAGCAAACAGAATTAAATTAACGTTTAAAATATTATTAAGAACTTTCCTTCACTTTAGGAACACACCTGAGCCCTGTACTCGCATTGATGGACAGTATGTTCCTTCCTGCCCACTTGTAGAAAATGGCATTAAACTGGTTTCTCTGATGTTAAACTGCATTCATAGTGGTTTGTTGCCATAACCTCTCACCTCTTCCTAGTCTGTTGGTATAAAAAACTCTCAGTATAGAACAGATCATGTCTTGAGGGTTTTTGTTTGTTTGTTTTTGTTTATATGGGTAGATAGTTCTAAAACATATTTCCTTTTGACCAAGTTGCTCAGAAATGTGTTCTCTCTTAGAGATTTTTTTTCTAATTCCTCTTCTTAGCCTTTCCATAAGAAAGGTCCATTCACTGTGGTCTTAGCAAAGCCAAGAAGTACTATTTGAATCAAAACTCAAATAGTCAGTATATATTCTCTCAGTGGCTGTTAGGTATAAAATACTTTGCTGAAGGGTAATTATATTTGACAAATTTCCTTCTGAATGGAGTATCAGATCTATCCCTACTACATTGGACCAGGAGGGATATTACTTAAGGCCACTTATGACAGTGTAGCTTCGATGCCTAACTGGTATGAAGGCTGTACATAAGAAGCAGTAGTATAAAGAGAAAATTGTGACACCAGAGCAGAAACTGGAAAACAAGTATCAAAATTAGCCAAGAAAATTGAAAGCAGGATGTGCGAGAAGTTCAGGGGCTAAGACTATGAGCCAGGGCTCCCCTTTTATATAATATCTTATATATATTGCATTAACTGGCATGGTGGCTCAAAGAAACATAGTAAATGTTTATAATGTATGGCATGTAATGGGCACTTATTAAATATTTCAAGGAATGAAATATGTTGGACTGGTCAATCTTAAGTTGTTCAGAGATGTATTTAACAGCATGTGAAACAAAGATAAAACCATGGACTTAGATGTAGAAGCTCTTCGGCTCTCTATTAAGTATTAATGTTGTTTGCTACTCACTCCTTAATTTTGTTCTCATCAGGCAAACAAGTTACCAAAGCCTTAAGAAAAATTGAGGAAATTTTTAAATCGATGAACTCTTATCCTTTAAATTTATTTGTATTCTATACATAGGAAATGACAGCCATTTTTCAATTTTAGTGACAAAATAAGTTGTTCTGAGAGCATGGTTTTAAAAAACCACTGCCTTAAAATATGAAATCTTAATCACTATAGTTTTAATATTTTCAACTTGGAAAACTAGTTAATGACTGAGAATATGAAGTTTACGGGTTTACTTTCTTTGTTAAAAAAAAATTAAGCCTATTGAAGAGATGCGACATGCAATTGCAGATATTCTAACAATGAAGAGTCAAGATACAGTTAATTTTGGTAAGTTTGTTTCTTTGATTTCCTTCAAGTGACTTGTGATTTTATTAAATTTCTTTGTTGAGTTAGGTTTTTCATCTTTTTTAACTTTTAAGTTATGTAGGTACTTTTGTTGACCTACCCCTGATTCAGTGGGTTTATGTAGTATGAAGGATTTTTATTTAGGTGATGTGGTTCAAAACCCAAATTTGTCATTGAGTGTGAAGGTTACTTTACCTCTCTAGGCCTTAATTTCTGTCTGACAAATTAGGCAGTCTGACTAAATGATCTCTAAAGACCTTTTACTTACTAAATTCTATGATGTGTTCTGTGCTGTAGAGCTCATTCAAGAATTCATTTTGCTAGTAATAGCAGATAGAGACGAGATGTGAGATTCATTAGCTGTTAGGTACATAAGATGTAAGCATATTTTAGAATCAGATATAGGCTGTGCCCATTAGTATGACCTTTGGCAAGACATTTAGTCCCTTACTTATCTGTAAAATGGGAATAATGTTAACATCTTCCTCAAGATTACTGGGATCACTGAATGAAACAGTCTATATAAAGAAACTATTAAAAAAAATAAAGTATCACAATCTGTGGCACATAGTAAGTTCAAATTTTAGCCATTATTAATAGATAGGGTATGAAATCAGTACGTATAAATGTAGCATAATTTGTTTCCTTGTTTAGAGTTCTTGCCCATTTTTCCCATAACACTATACATCACTCAGTTGATAAACATTTGAGAACCTGTTATGTACTGTCTCTGCTTGTATCTGGTTATTTTCTTTTGATTAATTTTAACAAGAGTCAAATAGTTTGGATTCTTTAAGGCTCCTGATATATGCTGCCAGACTGCTTTCTAGAGTAGTTATAAGTATCCTTCTTTTTAGTACACAAAAATGAATTTAAAATATAGGGATCTAAGTCATGGAGTAATGTTTAAATAAAATTAAAGATCATACTAATATTATAAATTGTGTTGTATGTTTTTGGTTACATATAATACAAAAAAAACGGTTCAATGAGTTTAATATGCTAATGGATTGTGTGTGAGGAGTACATGCTTCTATTGTTAGTATGTTTGGTTGAACAGAGAATATTTCCATTTATATACCAAAAATCAAACCCATTGCCGTCGAGTTGGTTCCAATTCATAGTGACCCTATAGAACAGAGTAGAACTGCCCCATAGAGTTTCCAAGGAGTGTCTGGTGGATTCAAACTGCTGACCTCTTGGTTAGCAGCTGTAGCTCTTAACCACTACACCACCAGAGTTTCCAATTTATAATGGCTGTTAGTATGCCCAGGGGGACATATAGAAGATGTATATGATCTTATCGTACTAAAACCTAACCAACCCATTGCCGTTGAGTTGATTCTGACTCATAGTGACCCTATAGGACAGTAGAACTGCCCCATAGGGTTTCCAAGGAGTGGCTGGGGGATTCGAACTGCAGACTTTTTGGTTAGCAACTGAATGCTTAACCACTGCGCCACCAGGGCTCCCTTATGTACTAGTAATATTCAATGAAGGAGCTTGAGAAGGAATGGTCAGGTAGGTAGAGGAAAACCAGGAAAGATAGTTACCACAAACAAAGGGAGGAGAAAGGTTTAGGAATAACCTGATTTTGTCTCTTAAGTGCTGAAGAACAAAGTGGAAATAAGAATTTCATAAAAAGCCATATTCCTCATAATTCTCACTGGCTCTAGAGATATGTGGAAACGTAAAACAAATGTAAATTTGAGTCAGTTATTCTATCTTATTATCCTTAACAGAATAATACTAGTTAGTGTAATCTTTGCTAGGAAATAGAATATTTATTACATTGTTTGTAGTTGTTAGGTACCATCGAGTCAATTCCGACTCATAGTGACCCTGTATGCAACAGATCAAAACACTACGCAGTCCTGCGCCATCCTCACAATTGTTGCTATGTTTTACCCAATTGTTGTAGCCACTTTGTCCATCCATCTCGTCAAGAGTCCTCGTCTTTTCAGAGTTGTATTGGAGGAAGACAGTGGCACCAGATAATAACTCAAACTGACAGGAACAAATGAAAAAAACCAGAAATGATAATTAAAAAGATAAATACAGGGAACCCAAGGTTGAGTAAGGATAGTGTTGATGTGTAGTGAGGTCGTTAACCATTGTCATAGAGCAACATGTGTACTAACTGTTTAAAGAGAAACTATTTTGTTCTGTAAATCTTCATCTAAAGTGAGAATAGCCGCACAATTGGAAGAGCATAGTCGATGTCACTGAACTGTGCATGTAGAAATTTTTGAAATGGTGTATCTTTGGCTATGTATATTTTCACCAAAAAAAAAGAAAAAAAAGGTCGAGAAGGGAGAGGATTGACTTGTCGTGCGGTTGTTAACCAATATCATAAAACAGTATGTGTACTACTGTTTCATGAGAAACTATTTGTTCTGTAAACCTTCACCTGAAGTACAATAAATATATATATGTAAAAGATAAATACAATAAACTCTACAAATACAAAAAAAAGAGTCCTCGTCTTTTTCACTGACGTCTGCCTTACCAAGCATATTGTCCTTCTCCAGGGACTGGTCCCTTCTGATAACACGTCCAAGTATGTGAGATGAAGTCTCACCATCCTCAGTTCCAAGGAACACTCTGGCTGTACTTCTTCCAAGACAGATTTATTCATTCTTCTGGCAGTCCTTGGTATATTTAGTATTCTTCACCAGCACGATAATTTAGAGGCATCAATTCTCTTTTTTTTTTAATTGTGCTTTAAGTGAAAGTTTACAATTCAAGTTAGTCCCTCATACAAAGATTTATACATACATTGATATGTGACCCTAGTTGTTCTCCCCATACTGTGACAGCACATTCTTCCTTTCTACCCTGGATTTCCTGTGTCCATTCAACCAGTTCCTGACCCTCTCTGCCTTGTCATCTCACCTCTGGATAGGAGCTGCCCATTTAGTCTCATGTATCTACTTGAGCTTAGAAGCACACTCTTCATGAGTATCATTTTATGTCCCATAGTCCATTCTAATCTTTGTCTGAAGAGTCGGCCTCGGGAATGGTTTTTTTTTTGTCTTTTTTTTTTTTTTTTTATTGTTGTAGTTAAATGAAGTTTACATTTCAAGTTAGTCTCCCATACAAAATTTTATACATACATTGTTATGTGACCCCAATTGCTCACCCCATTCTGCAACAGCACACTCCTCCTTTCTGCCCCTGATTCCCCATGTCCATTCAACCAGCTCCTAACCCTCTCTGCCTTCCCATCTCACCTCTGGACAGAAGCTGCCCCTTTGGTCTCTTGTATCTACTTGACTAAGAGGCACACTCCTCACGAGTATCACTTTATGTCCCACAGTCCAGTCCAATCCCTGTCTGAAGAGTTGGCTTCGGAAATTGTTTTGGTTCTGGGCTGATAGAGAGTCTAGGGGGCAAGCTTTCCGGGGTACCTCCAGTCTCAGTCAGACCATTAAGTCTGGTCTTACTAGAATTTGAGTTCTGTGCCCCATCTTTCTGGTGCTCCATCAGGGACTGTCTGTTGTGTTCCCTGTCAGAGCGGTCACTGGTGGTAGCCGGGCACCATCTAGATCTTCTGGTCTCAGGCTGATGAAGTTTCTGGTTTATGTGGCCCTTTCTGTCTCTTAGGCTAATACTTTCCTTGTGTCTATGGTGTTTTTCATTCTCCTTTAGTCCAGGTGGGTTGGGACCAATTGATGCATCTTAGATGGCCACTCGCTAGCTTTTAAGACCCCAGACCAAAGGCATCAATTCTTTTTTACTCTTATTCATTGTCCAGCTTTCCCATGCATATGAGGCGATTGAAAATGTCATGGCTTGGGTCAGGCACACTTTAGTCCTTAAAGTAACATCTTCGCTTTTTAACACTTTAAAAAGGTCTTTTGCAGCAGGTTTGCCCAGTGCAACACGTTGTTTGATTTCTTCACTGCTACTTCCATGGGCATTGATTGTGGAACCAAGTAAAATGAAATCCTTAACAACTTCCATCTTTTCTCCACTTATTATGATGTTGCTTATTGGTCCAATTTGTTTTCTTTATGTTGAGGTGCAATCCAAACTGAAGGCTGTAGTCTTTGATCTTCATCAGTAAGTGCTTCAAGTTCTCTTCACTGTCAGCAAGCAAGGTTGTGTTATCTGCATATCTCAGGTTGTTAATGAGTCTTCCATCAATCCTGATGCCACATTTCTTCTGCATATAGTCCGGCTTCTCAGATTATTTGCTCAGCATACAGACTGAATAATTATGGTAAAACGATACAACCCTGACACACAGCTTTCCTGATTTTAAACTGCACAGTATCCCCTTGTTCAGTTTGAACGACTGCCTCTTGGTCTATGTACAGGTTCCTTATGAGTCCAATTAAGTATTCTGGAATTCCCATTCTTCGCTGTGTCATCCATAATTTGTTTTGATCCACACAGTCGAACGCCTTTGCATAGTCAGTAAAACACAGGTAAACCATCTTTCTGGTATTCTCTGCTTTCAGCCAAGATCCATCTGATGGCAGCAATGATATCCCTCGTTCCATGTCCTCTTCTGAATCCAGCTTGAATTTCTGGCAGTTCCCTGTCGATGTAGTGCTGCAACTGTTTTTGAATGATATTCAGCAGAATTTTACTTGTGTATTATATTGTTCAATAATTTCCCCATTCTGTTGGATCACCTTTCTTTGAAATGGGTACAAATATGGATCTCTTCCAGTCATAGAGAAGTGAGCACCTCCAGTGCTGCATCCGTTTGTTGAAACATCTTAATTGGTATTCTGTCAGTTCCTGGAGCATTGTTTCTCACCAGTGCCTGCAGTGCAGCTTGGACTTCTTTCTTCAATATCATTGGTTCTTGATCATGTTCTACCTTCTGAAATGGTTGAACGTCACCCAATCTTTTTGGCACAATGACTCTGTGCATTCCTTCCATCTTCTTTTGATGCTTCCTGCCTTGTTCAATAGTTTGCCCATAGACTCCTTCAATATTGCAGCTCAAGGCTTGAATTTTTTCTTCAGTTCTTTCAGCTTGAGAAATGCGGAGCATGTTCTTCCCTGTTGGTTTTCAAACCCTAAGACTTTGCACATTTTATTATAATACTTTGTCTTCTAGAGCTGCTCTTTGAAATCTTCTGTTCTTCTCTTACTTCATCCTTTCTTCCAATCGCTTTAGCTACTGTACATTCAAGAGCAAGTTTCAGAGTCTCTTCTGACATCCATTTTGGTCTTTTCTTTCTTTCCCATCTTTTTAATGACCTTTTGCTTTCTTCATATATGATGTCCTTGATGTCATCCCACAACTCGTCTAGTCTTCGGTCATTAGTGTTCAGTGCATCAAATCTATTCTTGAGATGGTCTCCAAATTCAGGTAGGATAATACTTAAGGTTGTATTTTGGTTCTTGTGGACTTGTTTTTATTTTCTTCAGCTTCAACTTGAACTTGCATATGAGCAATTGATGGTCTGTTCCACAGTTGGCCCCTGGCCTTGTTCTGACTGACATTGTTGAGCTTTTCCATCGTCTCTTTCCATAGATGTAGTCGATTTGATTCCTGTGTTTTCCATCCTGTGAGGTTCACTTGTATAGTCGCTGTTTATTTTGTTGAAAAAAGGTATTTGCAAGGAAGAAGTTGTTGGGCTTGGCAAAATTCTATCATGCGATCTCTGTCATCTTTTCTATCACCAACGCCGTGTTTTTAAACTACAGATCATACTTCTTTGATTCAACTTTCACATTCCAATCACCAGTTATTATCAATGCATCTTGATTGCATGTTTGATCAATTTCAGGCTGCAGAAGTTGGTAAAAATCTTCAGTTTCCTCACCTTTGGCATTAGTGGTTGGTGTGTAAATTTGAATAATAGTTTTATTAATTGGTCTTCCTTGTAGGCGTATGGATAGTGTCCTATCCCTGACAGCATTGTATTTCAGGGTAGATCTTGAACTGTTCTTTCTGATAATGAATGCAACACCATTCTCTTCAATTTGTCATTCCTGGCATAGTAGAACATATGATTATCTGATTGAAAATGGCCAATATCAGTCCATTTCAGCTCACTAATGCCTAGGATATTGATCTTTATGTGTTCCACTTCATTTTTGATGACTTCCACTTTTCTTAAATTCATAGTTCGTACATTCCGTGTTCCTACTATTAATAGATGTTTGCAGCTGTTTCTTCTCATTTGATTCATTTATTACATTAGATGGGGAAAAAAGGTATCCATAACCTCTAGGCTTTCTGAATTGTATAAGTTTCAAGTTTAAAAACAATATTACAAAGTAAATGTATTTGTAAGCAGTAACAGAACATTATTGGGAAATGTAAGATACTCACCTAGGTGTCTCTCAGGTACCTCAAACCCAGCATATCCAAAATTGAACACATAATTTTCCCCTAAATCTAATAATTTTGGTTCCCTGTCTCAGTGTGTGCTATACAGTTGTCCAAGCTAGAAGTCTTGGGATTATTTTTGACTCCCTCTCTCTTTCCTACCTCCTTCTCCCTGTTCCCAGCCATTCAAAGTCCAATCAGTATAACTTTCTACATATTTCTTAAAATCCATTTACTTCTCTCCATCTATACTCCCATTATTATGGTCAGGATCACCTAAACAGCAATAGTCTCCTAAGTAGTTTCCTGCCTTTGTACTCTTGCTCCATTCCAATCCATTCTCAGTAGTATAACCCAAATGCCCTGTCACTCATCTGCTTAAATTCCTGAGTCCAACCTCTTCTCATGTCATTCTCCCTCTCCCCCACATCCCTAAGTAACTTTATTATTTTTATATTTTTTCATTTCCTATAAGGAGCCATATTACCTCTTGCCTCCTGGTCTCTCCAGGACTGTCTTCTACTCTTTCTTTACCTAATTCCTACTTATCCTTTAAACTTCAGTTCAAATGCCACTTCTTTGAGGTCTCTCCCTGATACCCATCTCTCTTCCCACAAACCCAACTAAGTTGATGCACCTCTTTTGTGTGCCCCATCTTCCTTTTGAACTATAAACTCAGTGGTCAGGACAGTGTCTGATCTTCCTCATCTTTGTATCCCCAGTACTAATGCAATGCCTGGCATATATTAGCACTTGAATATTTGTTGAATTAATGGATTCCCCCTCTCCTTACTTCAACTTCCATTCACCAAAAAAACCATAATCAGTTACCATCCAACCAAAACATCTTAGTAAAATCTCCAATTCTTAATCAGATCTAGAGGTCTTCTCAGCTGAATGGATTTGCCAGAATGTCTCACAATTATTTCAAATCTAACCATGTTTTATTTTGAACTCTTTTATCTTTCCTCACTGCTTCCTTATTGTCCTTGGTTGAATTATGTCCTCCAAAAAATGTGTGTGTCAGTTTGGCTGGGCCATGATTCCCAGTATTGTGTGGTTGTCCTCCATTTTGTGATTGTGATTTTATGTTCAAGAAGATTAGGGTGGGATTGTAACACCCTTCCTAAAGTCACATCCCTGATCCAGTGTAAAGGGAATTTCTCTGGGGTGTGGCCTGCACCGTCTTTTATCTTACAAGAGATAAAAGGAAAGGAAAGGAAAGCAAGCAGAGAGTTGGGGACCTCATACCACCAAGGAAGCAGTGCAGGAGTAGAGTGCATCCTTTGGACCTGAGGTTCCTGTGCAGAGAAGCTCCTAGACCGAGGGAAGACTGAAGACAACGAGGACCTTCCCCCTGAGCCGACAGAGAGAGAAAGCCTTCTTCTGGGGCTGACGCCCTGAATTTGGACTTGTAGCCTACTAGACTGTGAGAAAATAAATTTCTCTTTGTTGAAGCCATGCACTTGTGGTATTTTGTTATAGCAGCAATAGATGACTAAGACACTTACACACATTATCACTTCCCCTCAAAACAGGGATGGGGAAACAGAAAAAAAACCCTGCTCTGGCATTAAACTCAAGGAATTTCGTAAGGTATGCCCCTAATACACATGCACACTCATTTAGACACACATATGCGTTCATTTGTTCATTAAATTCTGTCTATTCTATTTCAGAAATATCTCTCAAATAGGGCTCTCCTTCCTGTCCCCACTTTTATCACATTGCTTAGGCTATTATAACAGCTTTCTCTTCTTACCATCACAGATCATTAGTTTTCATCTGCTGTCATTCTAGACCTTCCTTTAACAGTGACCATATCTAATTTTAACTGGCTCTGCACTGTGTTGTTTTTTTTTTTTTTAAATCAAACTTCTTACATATAAAGTTCATTACAATCTAGCCCCAGCCTACCTCTCTGAGCTCGCCACCTCCTCCCCACACTCCCGCCTTACTCCTTACCCTATATTCTGAGGACACTGGTCCTTTAAATGTTGTCTTAGTAAATCATTTCCTTTTATGTTTCATATTAAGAGTATCCTCCTTGGTCTTGTCAAGTACTTGTTTTTCAATACCAGCCCAAGTATCACTTGTGAAGCCTTCCCTAGCTATCCCCCTTCCCTACAAGGAAAGGTCGTTGTTCTTTTTTTAAGATTCCATAGCTCTTTGTTCTTGCCTCAACTACAGCATTTATCTTACTTATAATTAGTTATTTTCAAGTATGTCTCTTCAGTGACTGTGAGCTTCTCAAGGATTGGGATGATTTCATTCTTTTATTTGTATCTGTAATTCCTGACACATAGGAGATACTCAATATATAGTTGTTAAATAGTTGGCAGCAGTGTCTGCTAAGAAAAAGTAATAGTTAAGAGATGGCAGATTGGTTCTTTCGTTTTGAAAATTTGGTCAACTTTGAATAACTTAAGTATCTTCTGACTCTTGTTCTTAAAGTATGGCCAAAGCTTAATCTAGAGATGTATTTTGTATAGCAGATGATATTGAGGAGGCAACCAAGGAACAAGTCCAAGAAGTCAGCACTGAAGACATAGGTGTGAATCCAGAGCCAAGAAAACCAAAAATGGAAAATAAACATCATAGAAGTGTGATGTTTCATGATTGTGAGAAAGAGCAAGAGGACGAAACAAAAGATCTAGCCAATGATGTTAAAACTCTGGATAAAGAAACCAGGGAGAGTTGCTTGATTAAATATAATGTATCTTCTACGCCATCCTTGCAAAGGTGAACTTTTAAAATGTAATATGCTATGATTTATTTTTATGCTTTTGGATAATAAATGTGGTATTTTTGATAATAGAAAGGTTTTCAAACAAATGGAATGTGATTGGGATTTTTCACCTTTTAAATACTGTATTTACTTTGCTCTTGTCTAAATTGTGCCATTTTGAAAAAGAAAACTTTCACATCATTTTAACTTCTTATTGTGTATTGCTAATATCAGCAGGTTTGGATTGAGCAATTAGCCAATTCTACAGATATTTAGATTTCTATTGTGTATAAGTTGTAACATCAAGTAGAGAAAAGAAGTTCCTCACTTCCAGGATCTTGTAGTACCTCTCTCTTTCTATAAGACAAGTAATCAAATGGTTGTAATGTACAAAATATAATATGGTAAATAGCATAGAAGTAGAAAGCAAAAGTGTTCACATGTTTTTTTGAACTTTGGGAATAATTTTGTGTTTTCTTTTTCAGTGCGAAAAAGAAGATTCAGTTTGACAATACAAATTCGATATTTAAAGAGCTCAAGTTTCTAACACCAGTGAGACGTTCTCGACGTCTTCAAGACAAGACTTCTAAATTGCCAGATATGTTAAAAGACCATTATCCTTGTGTGTCTTCATTAGAACAGTTAACAGAGTTGGGACGTGAAACTGATGCTTTTGTGTGCCGTCCTAATGCTGCACTGTGCCTGATGTACTCAGAGACTGAAACAACAGAGGAGAAATAAAGCTGTGATGAGGAATGGGGTTTTTATTATTCCTGGAGTTTTTTTATTTTCTTTTTTGTGGCTTTGCATTTCTCTTAGGTCTAAGGTTGGCCAAGGACCTGAGTATTCTCAGTATTCATGGCAGTGAGCTCCTTTACTAATTTTCACTTTATAGCAGGAGTTGCCTTTGATGCATCAGAATCCCAATCCTTCTTTGTCAATCTCAACAGAAGCTGAGTTTTTCTTGAAGATAGGAAAATTTTGTCAGGTAGTTCACTGTGTTTCTTGAGGATCAGCAAGTTTCATCATAATGTTAGCTTTTTCACTTTTAAGAAGTCCAGAGTTACAGAAACATTATAAGTCATTCAATGTAACTCCAGTAATGCTGCATCATTAGAAAGTGAGTGTTCCAGATAAAATTTATAATTTTGCATGGATATGTTTTTAAAATTTATGATATACCTCCTTGCCTTTAAACAGAATACTAACTTTTATTCTGTCTTTTTTCTGATGATTCTGGATGGGTATGAAAGTTAACAATTGTAATGTGTAGAGTGACTCCCTCAAAACATTTAGACACATAAGACTGCTTATTTTTTCACCAAATTCTTGTTACCCAGACGGCTGTGCTCTGTGTGACCCTCAGACTGCCTATGGTTTTTCACTGTCACTTTTCATCAATGCCAGTGAGTTTGTACCTGTGGCCTCTTGGCCTCTTTCTACTTGTAACTGAGGTCATCAAGAAGAATAATTAACTGAATACTCCATTTCTAAGAGAAGGTACTTTCTGGTAAGAAGAAAAAGGTGTCAAATTTAGGGATATTTGAAACTTTAAGTCTAGTCTGAGTTCCTTTCTGTAGTTCTTTTGTAACTTGACTATCTAAAATATTTAATAACTTCCATAGCTTCATTTGGTGTAGTTTATAGACTGTTAGAATGGAGTTAGGGAAGAAATATATATACTGTTTAAGACATATCATACCTTAGGTAGCATTTTTAAAGCAACTAATACTTGAACTTTTTTTCCTTATGCTATAAAGACCTGTAACTTCATTGTTAAATCATGTCTCCGTAAATAGGACAATTATATACAGTAAACAGTTCTCTTCTTCCCACACATAATTACAGCCAATAAAATTGTTTTATAAAGCCCTGAAGTAATACTTGGCATACATCTACCAATTCTACAGTTTCATGTAAGCAATTTTCATTGTAAAAGGTTAAGATAGTATTAAAACTATGTATGTAGTGTGAATGTAGTTGAAGATCATATACTTAATCTTACATAATTTATGTTCATTTGTTCCATGGGTATAATAGCACCTATCTTTGTTCTGTTTATTGTCTTCTCATGTTCTATAGAGTAAGGTTTTTATTCTTTTTTACCCATGTACATAATGTGTACAATAAAATGTCAGTATCATGATGTTTCAATGACATTTATTTCAACTAATATTTTATGAAATGCAGTTTAACCACAGTGAATGAATTTGAACTTTGCCTTTGAATACATTGTATGAAGATTTGAACTGAGGTTCTTGACACTTAAATTAAGTGTGTGCTTATTGGTGTATTTCCTTCTGAAAAATGATCATCAGTCTATCTAAAAAGTATCTAATTTTTCATTTGAACAGAAATAATAACTCATATTATTCGTTTTATTTTTTCATACTTTGTTTGAATGACCCAAAATATGCCATTTTGAAGTAAACTTCAAGCTGGTATACACTCTTACCTTTATAATATCCATACCATATGGTTCATATTCCATAGTTTGAAATACCTCAGTGAAAGAGCACTCAAGAAATAAACTGTTCTGTGCATGGGTAAGTTTCTTAGAGTGTTTTGGGTTTTTTTCCTCCCTTAATGGGAGGAAAATCTGTCTCTCTAAATGGTCCTAGTTCTAACATTTACAGCCATACATCTAACTCCTTTAGACATCTAACAGCAACTATCATGAGTCTGACCTAAGTTTGTTCCAAGGTAAATTTTTTCCAAGGTAAGTTTTTCCAAGGATGTGATCCCATAAATGAGCTTTGAACTCCAACACACCTACATTTAAAATCTCAACTGCCAGAAGGCAGAAGGGGACAGGGAAGCTGGTGATAGGGAACCCAAACTTGAGTAAGGACATTGTTAATGTGTTGTGAGATGGTTAACCATTGTCATAGGGCAACATTTGTAGTAACTGTTAAATGAGAAACTATTTTGTTCTGTAAGCCTTCATCTTAAGTGAGAATAACTGCACAATTGGAAGAGCGTAGTCAATGTCACTGAACTGTGCATGTAGAAATTTTTGAAATGGTGTATCTTTGGCTATGTGTATTTTCACCAAAAAAAAAGGTTGAGAAGTTAGAGGGTTGACATATTGTGGGGTTGTTAACCAATGTCATAAACAATGTGTGTACTACTGTTTCATGAGAAGCTATTTGTTCTGTAAGCCTTCACCTGCAGTACAAAAAAAAAAATCTCAGTTCCTCCCCTTAAAAGTTGTGTCACTTTGGAGAAGTTACTTAGTTGAACCTCATCCTTCTGAAGGATAAAGTGGGACAGCCCCCCTCTAGTCATTTTGTACCATATAATCTGCCTGCTACCGAAGTTGATTAGCCATGAATAAGCACCAGACCCAAGAGGCACATGTGAGCATCCTTCCAAAAAAAATATAGAATCAAAACTGAGACTATGTAGTGTTAAATATAAACTAAAAATTAATGGCCATTTGTACCAGGTACAAACCTTGACAGAACAATAGAGAATTTTCAAAGTGTTCCAACTGTAAAAACTTTTTGAAAAAAAACAACTTGACAGTTAAAAATGTTTCTGATTCACCATACCAGACCCCACCAATTTCCAACAGACAAGTTTACTTATAAAACCAATGACAGGCCCCTGCTTTGTAAGACCCTCCCTTCAACTAAAGACATACCTAAAATCCAATCATAACTTCCCTACTGGAAATCCCCTAACGCTCTATAAAAACTGTATTTGTGCTATTTATATGAGTGCCTTGCAACTTCCTGCTTGGATGTTCCGTGTTCTTGAATAGCTTCTTGCTTCAATAAGCCCTATTATCTCTAATTGACTTACTAATCAAATTTCTCTTTTTGACAGTAGTTAGACCTGTAATATGTAAAGATGAAGCATCAGGTGACCATATGAGGGTTAGACAGCAGATGTCAGTCAACAGAACAATGAAGGAGCTACCCAGGGAAAAGCAGAGAGAGACTCCTGCTTGGGTTTTCTACAGCCTATTAGTTGCATATCATGCAAATATACTCTTCTGGATAAATCCAAATATAGATCAAGCAGAAGTCCTCCAATTCGACTCTGCCTCTTAGGTATAATCAACTAATAGTATGGTAGCCTTTGAATTGTTTTCTATATACGTAACATATGTGTTGTTAGTTGCCATCAAGACGTTTCTGAGTCATGGTGACTATATGTGTGCAGAGTAGAACTGCTCCATAGTTTTCCAAGGCTGTGACATTTCAGAAGCAGATCACCAGGCCTGTTGTCTGAGGCACCTCTGGGTTCAAACTGCCAACTTTATGGCTAGTCATCAAGTGCTTGACCGTTTGCACTACCCTGGGACTCTTAATATATATGTGTGCACATACAAATACATACACAAATATACACAAACATGCATATATAGTCAATTTAGGGAGTTCTTGCTGTTAGGTATAAATGGCACCATAGTGCCTGCACGATTCTGTAGCTTGCTTTTTATTTTTCTAATTTACTAAGGAGAAACTTTTCAGTGACACAGATCATTAAATAAGACTACACTGGAATTTATTAAATGATCTGTGTTGTTGTTAAATGCTGTCAAGTCAGTTCCAAGTCATAGCGATGCTATGTACAACGGAAGGAAACACTGCCCGGTCCTGCGCCATCCTCACAATCATTATGCTTGAGCCCAGTGTTGCAGCCACTGTGTCAATCCATCTCATTGAAGATCTACCTCTTTCTCGATGACCCTCTACTTTACCAAGCATGATGTCCTTCTCCAGGGACTGGTCCCTCCTGATAACACGTTCAAAGTGTGTGAGACGAAGTCTCGCCATCCTTGCTTCTAAGGAGCCTTCTGGCTATACTTCTCAGACAGATTTTTTCTGGCAGTCCATGGTATATTCAGTGTTCTTTGCCAGCACCATAATTCAAAGGCATCAGTTCTTCTTAAGTCTTCCTTATTCATTGTCCAGCTTTCCCATGCATATGAGGTGACATAAAACACCATGGCTTGGATCAGGCACACCTTAATCCTCAAAGTGATATCTTTGCTTTTTAACACTTTAAAGAGATTTTTTGCAGCAGATTTGCCCAGTGCAACACATTGTTTGATTTCTCAACTGCTGCTTCCTTGAGTGTTGATCATGGATTCAAGTAAAATGAAATCCTTGACAACTTCAATCTTTTCTCCATTTATCGTGATGTTGCCTATTGGCCCAGTTGTGAGGATTTTTGTTTTCTTTATATTGAGGTACAATCCATACTGAAGGCTGTAGTCTTTGATCTTCATCAGTAAGTGCTTCAAGTCCTCTTTGCTTTCAGCAAGCAAGGTTGTGTTATCTGCATATCTCAGGTTGTTAATGAGTCTTCCACCAAACCTGATCCCATGTTCTTCTTCATATAGTCCAGCTTCTTGGATTATTTGCTCAACATACAGATTGAATAAGTATGATGAAAGGATACAACCCTGACACACACCCTTCCTACTTTAAACCATGCAGTATTCCCTGGTTCTGTTCGAATGGCTGCTTCTTGATCTATGTACATGTTCCTTATGAGCACTATTAAGTGTTCTGCAATTCCCATTATTCACAGTGTTATTCATAATTTGTTATGATCCACACAGGTGAATGCCTTCGTATAGCCAATAAAACACAGGTAAACATCTTTCTGGTATTCTCTGCTTTCAGCCAAGATCTATCTGACATCAATGATATCCCTCGTTCCACATTCTCTTCTGAATCTGGCTTGAATTTCTGGCAGTTCCCTGTCAATGTACTGCTGCAACCACTTTTAAATGATCTTCAGCAAAATTATACTTGCAGGTGATATTAATATTGTTTGATAATTTCTGCATTCTGTTGGATCACCT